GTCCTCTTATTACTAAGAGAAAAAACAAGAACAACATCTATTCCATACCTGAAGATGTCTGTAGGAACAGACGAAAGCTTGTAGTAAAAATAAGAACTAATACGGCAGAAATTTATAGAAATAAGGATCTTTTCATTCATAACGGATTCGGAGGTTTTTGGATATTATTTGAATTGTTTGCGATGATGGATTTCTCGCCAATTAAATCATTAACCTTTGCATTTGTTTTTTGTGTGAATAATTCATGAATTTGTAAATTGATTGCACGTTTATCGAAAATATATATATATATATATATATATATATGAGATAATGATATATATATTTTACATATCAAGAACAATTTTTGGAAAAAATTTATGATAAAGTGGGAAAAGTTTACTTGTTCCGTGTTTCGCCCATTATGATTTAATCGTGTTAAATTGTTATGTTGGCACGACTACACATTTGCATGAACGAAGGCTCGTGGGATTTTAAAATGTGTATATATATATTTATCTTAGTCGTAGCAACATAACAAATCTAGTCCGATGCAGGCATTCAGGACGAAATGAGGCAAGTAAATTTTGTTTCTTTTTATATATATATATATATATATATATATATATATATATATATATATATATATATATATATATATATATATATATATATATATATATGGGACGGTATATGTGTGTGTGTGTGTGTATATGCGTGTATGTGTACAGATGTGTTTACTAATTCCTCGTAGTGTGTATGTATGGAGAGGGAATATACATCATCATCTCTCGTTGAGGCACGGTGGAGTAATGGATAGCGGCTTAGATTGAGGAATCGGAGAGCCGAGTTCGAATTCCAGTCGAATCCATTACATTCACTTACGTGCTAACACCCTTGGGAAAGGTGTGAATCCTCTTTCTTCTCCCTCCAGCTATGGGTAAATAGCAGAACAGAGTGGGTTCTATAACCTTGGATGGCAACTGGTCTAGGAGAAGGAAAACTCTGAATTCAAACCTGCTCTTAGAGGAGGGTGAATGGAGTCTCTCTGAGCCTTGGTTGGCAATCCATTTAGTGTTGATGTCACGATAAAAACACCCTTGATAGCCTTAGCGAAGCATCAAGAATATAGCTATTTGACAAGATTATGAACTACACCAATCAAAGTATTGGTGAGTTCAATCTCGGCTGAGGCCGCAAGAGATGATGATGATATATATATCCACGCATGCAGACAAAAACACACGAAATAGATCTAAGAACACACAGGGTCATTAAAAGTTAAGAATGCCGATAACTACTTCATCATTTCATCTTAATTGTTTTATAACCCTTCACGAAGAACATTTCACTGCCAGTTCAAGAAAGATATTTGGGTCATAAACACAAAAAGAGAATGTCTCATATCGAGAATATTTAACATCGAAAAACATAAAGAAGAAAAAAATTAATTATTTTTAATAATATGTGGAAAACTCCACCCTTTGCCGGATGACGGTTGCCAGAGCAGAAACACGTGTAGCAAAATTATGGAAAATAAAGCATAAGATATTTTTTTAAAAAACAAATCCGCATTACAACCCAAAATGTTTGCGGTCTCTCTCTTCTTTTTACATATATATATATATATATATATATATATATATATATATATATATATATATATGAGCGTTTCGAAAATTTTTCGCTCGATCAAGATGCCGATTCCCGTCAAAATGATTTGTATTGGTTAGACTTTCCATCACCTCCATCCCAGCATAAATTTTCCGAAACGACGTGAAGTGATTTTCTTCGTCTGTCTTATTTTTATAGATAGTTCTTTAATCTTTCATTTTTTTTTTGCCTGTCACTGGATGATATCCATGAAAATTTTAACACATGCCACGGATAAGCTTAGCGTTTTTACGCCCTTTTCCTCATAAAAGTATCCATAAAAACATAATTTTCGTACAAACCTATATACATAAAATAATATATATATATATATATATATATATATATAAAAGATTCACCTCTTTACTTTCAGACTCCATCCACCATTTTGCAAGCACTGCAGCGGCTCGTTTTCTGTCATCAATCTTATTCCATTTTCGTGAATCGTTGTATTGCTTATTTTTTTTCACTTCCATCTCTTCCCTCTGCTTGTGATACATATCATCCTGGAAAGAGAAATTCAAAATGTAAATACATTCAACAGTTTTAGATAAATCAACGCGTATATTCTTCGCATGCAACAGAAACATTTTTCAAATGTCAAACGAAATATATGAGAAGGGCTTCAAGATATTCAACTGCAAATATTTTGTTAAGAATTTTCTTACCGCAGGAAGTACTTTCGTAAAATTTTTGACATACGGAAGTGGTAACAAGTCTTCTTATCAAGTTTATTTGGAGTTAATGTAACTTTTAAAAATATTTTCTGCGAACCTGCTGCGTATTGGCAGCATGAACTAAAATGTTACCAGGTTGTTCTTACTCTTTAAATAAACGGACGTCTTACGGTCACATCACATTGAAATCCCGGTTACCGAAGGATCACCGAAGTTAAGCAAAGTCGAGTTTGGTTAGTACTTAGAAGGGTAACTGATTCGGAATACTACGTGCTGTGAGCTTGGATACGTGGATGGTGTAATGGATAGTTCCTTGGAATTGTTAGTCATAGGTAGTTCTAATTCCCGTTTGTTTAGTTATATTCATCACGCGTAAATGCTGTTGGGAAAGGGATGAATCCACCATTTCTACCCTCAGCTATTGGTTAATTAATAAGGCTTGTGCCACGAAAACCATTATTGTCTCTCAAGCATAAATAAATAAAATATTTAGATTTAGGCATTAAATAACCCATAGATGTGTTGATATACCGCTAAACAAAAACAACTAACCAATCAAATCAACGGACGATACTTTCTGTCGATATCTCTGAGATGAGGTATTATGATTACTTACATTATTCAAACTGTTAACCTCATCTTCATTGCCATATTCAGAACGTTTCGGCCGCTGTACGTTTCGGCCTAAGTCAGGTGATTGCATGTCTAAGATGAGGTATTATGATTACTTACATTATTTACATTATTCGAACTGTTATCCTCATCTTCATTGCCATATTCACAACGTTTCGACCGTTGTACACTCCGGCGTTCTTCAGGTGATTGGATCTCTGAGATGAGGTATTCTGATTACTTAGATTATTCCGACTGTTATCCTCATCTTCATTGCCATATTCACAACTTTTCGGTCGTTGTACGCTCCGGCATTCTTCAAGTGATTGGATCTCAGAGATGATTATTCCGCATGTCTCAGTTATTCATAGAGAGATATCCTTAAGGACACATGACCCAGTGGATAAAGACGTTGGTAAGATCCAGTGACTAGACCCAATGAATTGTGAATTCAGTACCAGGCCACAGTAGTGGTGAACCAAAACCTGGAGTGTTGAGTTAAAGGGAAATAACTGAGACATCCGAAAGAGGCATGGTGCGTGGAACTAGAACAACCTACCCCGAATAAAAGGTTCGGTTCGAAATTCCAATCACCTGAAGAAGGCCGGAGCGTACAACGACTGAATCGTTGTAAATATGGCAATGAACGTAATGATGATAGGACGACAATTGACGTTTAAATGTACTAAAAGGCTATTTTTCCTACTTGTAAAAGTGAGAAATAAATAAAATATTTCACCGATAATGGGAATTACAATATCAACTTTGGCTTCTTTTTTTTTTAAATTAAAATTCATATAATCATTCTCTTAAAACAGTTTCCTAGGGAAATAGTTTTCTCAGGTCTACTCTTATCCCACATTTTAGTATCGATTGCGGTTTCCTTTCAAACTTTTTGTTTGAAATAGTGTGGAACGTCGACCACCTTGATGATATCATAATTGTCTCTTCGTGTTAAATGTTATATCCATTTTAAATATTGCTGCTGCTGGTACCCTCTAGTGATATTGCTTCATTTACTTTGTTCCACTTCTTTGTGATCGTCAGTCCACGATGTTCAAAGAAAGATGATCTTTGCCAAGACGCTCAGGCTTCACGCCACCATAGCCTTTTGTTTCACCACTGATCTTAGAAAGCGATTGCATAGAGCTGAGAGTTTAGATATGTCGAAATTCCTCAAATTATATGATTTCTTTTATTCACTGGCGTTTTTTCTCTGTAATTCTATATAAAAAATACATATGGTTTGAATTCCTATGGTCGCCCGAAGCTACTAATCTGAAAAATCGGTTGTATACAGCTGATAGTTTAGGTCTCTCTGAACGGGTTTAGCGCCATGTATGACGTCCATATGAAAGCATTCATCTCACGAGGCTGTTTAAGAACATAGCACTGTTTCTATGATTAATGGTTGGCTTTTGCAGGATCTTGTTGGAAAAAATGCCCCTAGAACAGCCAATTTCTATGTTCAATTTCCTTATCTCCTATACTAAATTTGTATAATAGAGCCATATATCGATATATTTTTAAACGTTTTACCCTAAGCAATGCGTGAGTGCCACTAGCACGCAAGGAGTTACAGAGAGTGAAAGTAAGAGTAAAGAGGAGTGTCTGAGGAAAGAATAAAGAGAAGAACAGGGATCAAGATCACGGCTTCAGAAGATGTCGATTGACATTACATTTAAATTTTTGAATATTAGAGTTATCACAGAAGCAAATAAGAGGAAGGTAGTTCCACTGTCGGGAAGAAGAAGCTGTTGGAATAGAAGAGGCGGTTACATTTAATTGTTTTGGTAATAAAAGGGTGGGACCTCGAGTCCAACCTAATAGCACGTTTAAATTCATGCAGTTGGGGCACCAGTGGAAATAGCTCCTCAGAGCAGTTGCCATGAAAATATTTGTAGGAAAGACAGAGGGAAGCCACGTCAGGGAGAAAGTGACTGAAGTCGAGATGCCAGGTCAGGACCTATCACATTGCATATCCGTCTTTGGATTTTTTCGAGAACTTTGAGAGGAACCATACCATATAAGACAACAGTATTCAATGCAAAGACGATTGGCAGATTTGTAGAGTTGAATGAAATTTGAAGTATTCATTTCCCATATTTCATTTTGACTATGGATTCAGGATGTGCGCCATAATTGCTTACATTCCTATCTCAGAACATAATTTCTACTTTGAAAAGGTTTAATGTGAGTGGAAACACCTGGGAGATTTAATGTTTGTTCATTGGAACTAGCGAATCCCCCGCACACAAACCATCTTGTGCAGGACAAAGCTATGGAAAATGATATTAGTTATGGGTATATTGAACAAAACAATAAACCTCATTTGAATCGCTCATATATATATATATATATATATATATGTGTGTGTGTGTGTGTATAATGGATGCTCCCGTCGGTTTCAACGTATGAGGAACTGACAGCTTAATTTTGTGCGATAATCTTAAGTCGCATTTAAGACCCGCTAGTGATTTACAAAGGAGGCCACCTATAGAGCAAGTGTGAGGATTGTGAAATGAGATCACTGTTAGATTGGCTGACCTTTTAGATCTTGCTCTCGCTTCTTGAAGATGATTCAGACAAGCAGATTGCAAGTCTACTAAAACACGTTGATCTCCATTCTACCCGCTCTAAGGATAAGAGCTCAAGGGTGTTATGTGGTATATTGACTGCTGACAAGTTGCTTTTCAGTTTGTGTTTTTATCCTAACCATGGGCGTCCTACATTCCTGTAGCCATGATCTAACTGGCTGTACATTAGGATCTTGGGTATCCTGTCATCAGACATTCTCAAGACATGACCAGTCCACCATAACTGAGACTGTATGATAAAAGTCTTGATTTCTCCAATACTACAATATCGAGGAAAAAAAGATCATGGAAAATAATAGATATTATTCTTCCCCATAACAGAAGATACTCAATAAGGTAAAAAAATTTTTTTTTCCTTTCCTGTCAAAAAAAAAAAAAAAAAAAAAATGAGCCCATATGACTGAAACTATCGACAGAACACAACCATCTATCAGAAGGCATCGATCCTGCCCGCTTGTAATACTGTGTAAAATATACAGTTGAGGAAATGCTCTTTTCCTCCAGTGTAGGCAATCGCCATGCTTATGTTCTAACATTGATGGTAAAGTGTTTCTGATACGAAGGCTCTTTAAGGAATTCTTCCGGAACCTCCGCCATGCACCATCACGTGACGTGTTGTAGTGCTTTGTTTAGTGGAATTTAATATCGAATCTACAAAAAGAACACTTACCTGGAAACTTTCAACTGCCTGTGGCATGTCGTCATCCATAGCAGAGGCAACTATATCGGAGTAAAAGATTTTCAACATATCCATACCATGGTCCATTAAGAAATATCCAAACACAGTCCAAAGATATTCCTTCTCAATTTTCTCCTAGGAACAAACAAATAAAGAAGACCACACGTTATTTCACATACTCGACATAATCAATATTTCATCTTATATAATAGAATATAATACAATCTTATATAATCGATAGACTGAAACATAATCTAAGAAATAAACTCAATATATCTGTCTACATTTCTGAGATGAGGTATTATGAACACTATTTACACTATTCGGACTATTGTCCTCATCTTTGTCGCCATATTTATTACAACGTTTCGGCCGTTGTACACTCCGGCCTTCTTCTCGTGGATGGAATGTCGAACCGAACCCTTTATATCGCTCACTGGGGTAGACTCTTCTAGTTCCACGCGCCATGTCTAATGGATGTCAGTTATCAGTTATCTCCTGTTAATTCCCCTCTCCAAGTTCTCGACTGCCATAACCGGGTATTGAACTCACACTCTTTGGGCCCAGTCACTGGATTTAACCAACGACGTTATGTAAACAGTGTAAACTCAATATAATCTTATAGTAAATATAATTTAATATAATCAATACAATATCATAAATCCCATATAATCAATACAGTCTAACATAATCGATGCATTGTCAGTCATTCTGTCAGTTCAATGACATCACGTGATACACGCTTGTGCGATCATGTGTCTTTTGATTCATGACTGATGAGGCAGCGATTTTCACGCAGTTGATTGCCCTTTCTTTCTGCAGCAGACTGGTTTCTAACCAAGGATATAGAACATCTCCTGCTATTTAACCCATATCTGGAGGAGAAAAAGAGATAGGTTCATACCTTTCCAAAGGTTATTTGCGCGTAAGTGAATGTAACGAACTCGCTTGGAATTCGACCTCGGCTCTCCAATTTCCCATTCAGATATCTATTAGACCACTGCACACCCCATGTGCATTGTAATCTAACTTAATATAATAAGTCGACACCCGTTTATCTCATGCGATAAAAGTCAAATGGCGGTCAAATTTCAGTCCTTTGATGGTGAGATGGAGTGACCCTCTTCAGGACGGAGACCTGGGCGAGGGTATATGGAAGCCGTGCGCTAACCAGACGACATGATCTCCATCTCGCCCGTACCGTCAATATCCAAAGGAATACAGGACATTATATTTAGGGTCGGTTTGGCTGTAGCAGATTATAGGGAAATTATCAGCGAGCCGCTTCCAGGGTTCAACTGCGGGTTATTCAGTCTTGATTCATTTCCATAGTCTTTTCCGTGTTTGAATATGAACGCAAGACAGCTGAAGTTTAAAATCGGGGTTTTCCTTCTCCTACGTGGTCTGTTTTCCTGCGCTATCGAGCTCCATCTTCCGAAAGCATCAGGTTATTATGTGTCAGTTGTCCATCTCTCATTCTCTGGCTTGGAGAAGCATTATATAGGCAGTGAGAACTTGTCTTCACTATTATGACTGGTATCGTTTATATAATAGGATAATCTATATAAAAAAATATAATACAATCGTTGCCAAGAGGATTTTAAAATATTGATGTCCACCATCACAAAAAAGTGGACTGTGGCTATCTCTCTATATATATAGTTCTCAAAATGGGTGTTTATCTATGTGTATGTGTGTGTGTGTGATCGGATGTTGTTTATGCATTTCCAGTTTTCATCCGATTTCGATTAATTTTTTGTTTGATAGATAATTCTTTAGTGCCGGTTTTGAGTCCAAATTGTCGGCAACAAGTGCTCTCCACGACTTTCTTTCCATTATAACTCTCAGCAATGTTTTACTATTTACTATCTGTTCTTGGATATATATATATATATATATATATATATATATATCTTTCATAAAAAAACTTTAATAAAAAATAAATAGTTTAAATTATTACAATAATATTATTTATTATTATACAGTTCCTTTTCAGGGCTACCCCCCATTCAAATTGTTAAAACAAAGTCCCCCCACCCCAACCCAATATGGGGATGTGCCTCAGTTGCACCCAAATGTTGTTAATAATATTGATTTTCGGGTGGGATGACTTTAAAATTAAACTGCTCTAATTGAACGGCAAACATTCTCAGTAATGAATGAAAGACCCGGTCAAAGACGTGTTAGACTGTTAGTAAATAAATAATATCAAATTTGACTTATAATTTATATTATAATTAATAAAGGATTGAGAAAGCTGAAGATATTCTGGGTAAGATAATTTTCAAATTATTTTAGAGACTGTTGAGTCGAAATAATTGGGAAACCCAAGCAGGTTTGTAGCAGATCTGTACATGATTTATCGCTATATTATAGTGTTGTTTGCTTGTTTGTTTTTACTCAATATAGATTATGGACGACTGTAATATTTATTGTGTATTGTTACTATTATACATATATATGTTTATGTGTACATTTGTTAATCCGTTTATAATTTACTTACTTTGTTTACCTATTTATTGATTTGGATTATCCTTAATTTATTTATTTCGTTTGGTTTTAATTTTCGGTTTTTAAGAAACTTAGAAAGAAATTGTTTTCAAGTTTAACTAGAACAATTTAAAACATAACCGTTTAAACTCATAAAATAACCGCTACAATAATACAACAGACCTACCATTGATCAGCATATATAAATAGTCGACTCAAAAGACAATAGACATGGCCTGACGTTTGTGTTTAAGCATGAAACAGACTGTCGCTGGTGGTTATTAACATCAATGTCCAATTTTATATTTGCATAGGATCTATATTTTTATATATATATATATATATATATATATATATATGATCAAAATATAGAGTCTATGTAAATATAAAAGTGACATATATTTATCTATATATATATATATATATATATATTATATATATATATATATATATATATATATATATATATATATATATATATATATATATATATATTCCCACTTTTTATACTTATATAGTTATTTGGTTTTATTTTTTTTTACATATAGCAACCTCAATGGGTTATTTAATGCCGACAAAATTTTTATTGCTAGTAATATTTTGTTTTGTCAAAAATCTATTTCTGGTAATAATTTTTTTCATCAAAACTGTATCGCAGGTAATATTTGTTTACAAAAATGTATTGCTGGTAATATTTTTTCTCAAAAACGTATTGTTGATAATATTTTTTTTCAAAAATATATTGTTGGTAATTTTTTGTCAAACATGTATTGCTGGCAATAGTTTTTTTTTTTCTTCAAAAAATTATTGCTGATAATTGTTTACAAAGTATTTCTGGTATTAAAACCTATTTTCACACATTCATAGTGTTTTCAACCCAGTTTGGGGGTTAACTATTTGCCCATAGCTCGGACCCTAACAGGTGCTACCACACCGGGTCATGGTTAACCTGGGAACATCAACAATTAAGAGGTATTTCCACACATTCAAAACTCCTGATCAGAGGCCTTGCTGCTGGACGTAGTTTATCGTCTTACCCAGCACGCGGATGTAGGTTATCGTCATACTCAGAACGCATACTTACATAGGCTTTACATTTTTATCATGCATATATATATATATATATATATATATATATATATATATATACTGTCATGGGTCCTTAACTATAACTACAGAATGAACTCTTCTTAACACTATGAATACTACGCCTCTCAAGAGAGAGGGACGAATCAAGCCGAGCTTCTCGACTTGACGGTCGAACTTTTTGCCTCTGAGCAGAGAGGAACCCGGACGATGCTCCGCCGAAGGGCAGAGTCTCGTTCGGGGAGAAATGACCAACCCGATCTCGTTTATACGGGTTATACGGGCATTTTTTGGCCGAGCCTACGGGCTCGGAAAACCCACGTAAAAACTCGGCCTTGTACCACATGCAACCCTCGTGGGGGGGTGGCTAGATACCGAATCAAGCCGAGCTTCTCGGCTTGACGGTCAAACTCTCTGTCTCTGAGCAGAGAGGAACCCGACGAGGATCCGCCGAAGGGCAGAGTCTCGTTCGGGGAGGTTGACCAACCCGATCCCGTTTATACGGGTTCTACGGGCATTTTTTGGCCGAGCCTATGGGCTCGGGAAACCCACGTTAAATTCGGCCTTGTGTCACATACAACCCTCGTGGCGGGGTGGGGTGGGCTAGATACTGAATCGGATCGAGCTGATAGTCGTTCACTCCAAACCAGACTGACAGTCATACTAACACCTTCCACATCTTGTATTATTATTTCGTGTAATATATCTTCGTTATTTCTACTCTTGTGTAAATTATTTGTGTGTGTGTGAGTTCGGCAACGTAACGCCCTTTTTATTGAACAAAAGGAATTCACGTTGGTTTAAGAAAAGTTATAATTATTATCACATCAAAACTGCATGATTTGTTAGGATTAGTAAACAATATAACATGTTCAAAATGCTCCCCTTCATATTCAGTAAAAACGCTGAAACCTATCAGCAAGCAACAATTCTACAAATCATTTCTATTAAGAAAATCTGTTAGAAATTGTTTGTTTTAATTCAGAAATTGTTTTCGGTTTGAGCCTGTAAATAAGGTCTTTCAGTACACCCTACATGATAAAAGTCCGTTAGGTCTGGTGATCGTGATGACCCCTTAATTGCACCACACCTTTCTATTCACCCAACTCGAAATTAAGATTAAACATTCCCGAAAGCGTAAGCCATAGTGGAAACCATCTTAAATGACCGTAATTTATTTTTACTCAACAAAATTTGATAAATAAGAAAGTTACTTTTGCCGCATCATTTTTTCCAGATAATTATCTATATTTAATGTGTTAAACCTCTCCCCACCATATAATCCAGCATTAATAATGAATTCAAAATGAAAATCCATTTCTAAACTTTGCAGCTTCTGTTTTACTACTGTCTCGATAAGTCGATAAAGTTAAATTGGCAAGTGATCTAAAAAGAATTACGTACAGTTTGTTGTTAACTTGGTCAAAAGGTGGCTTCTTTATTTTAAAGTCTAAATAAAGGAAACTTCTCTCCAGTAATCACCTGAAAGACCCTTTCCTGTCTTCAATTTAACATTATTGGCCGATATGAAATGGAAATATTATATTGAATCCATTGCTAGATCTGCTGCTAAGAGAGTTAGTTCATTATATCGTGCTAGCCATTTTTTCTTTCCACAATCTATTTTGCATATTTATGTCTGCCATTAAGTCATTTTCCCACCGCCATAATGTAGCTTCCTTATATCTTTTCTATAAATACTTTCATGGTAACTTTTGAGCTCTTTGCTGTTGTACCTAGACTTTATGAACTTATGCGCAGTACTCGATTGGCAGCAAGGTCTCATTGATTCACTGTGGAATTGGCTAGATATAACCGTAAGTTCTATGCTAACATTTTATTTTCTCACACTTCTCGTATGTGGAACTCTCTTTCGGATTAAGGCTTTTCAGGCAACATCGATCTTCAAGAATTTAAATGCAATGTCAATTGCTATTTACTGTCTTGATTAGTCTTCTATTCTCCGCCCTCCCTAATATTTCTCTTTTTTTACTTGTTCTTCCACACTCAGTAACCCCTTGTGCCTTAGTGACTTTACTGCCTTGCATGAGGTGGAATGGTTTTTTAATTATAAATATAGGCTTCAACCTATAACACTTTAATGTCTGTCCTAAAATTAGGTGGTGGTCACTAATATGTTGAATTACTGATTCTGCTATTAAATATTCATTTGATTTATGAATATATATTTCATACGATACACTGAACTAACTCTAGACACGATAAGCGGATGCTCCCTTAGGAAAGCACCATGCCGTAAGTGACTATTGTGCCTCAAATTCACACCCGACCTCAAGTGGAACTCCTATATACGAACCATCCCTAAAGATGCAGGAAAAAGGTCGGTTCCCTGTACCTGACTCCTCGTACGCTCCATTTTAGGTCTGATCTGGCTCATATAAAGGTCAAGATCCAGATCAGACCTAAAATGGTGTAGGCACTTCTCCCTCCTTACTTTCCTGTCTCGATAGATTTCAAAAGCTTCCCCCACGCCCTTGTAGGTGACAAATTATTTTCAAGCCTGTAAACCTCTCTCGCTGACGGGATGTGGCAAGCTTCTCACTGTCCTGTCACTATTTCTATGGAAAGTGCTCGGACAAACTGCACTCCTTGGTTCCGTCAGTTCTAAGCTTAACAGATAGGACCCGCCATGCCTCTCACATTGGTGACTAGTAAGTTCCATTTTAGCAGCTTCTTCCCGCGAACCATTGCTCCGTGGAACCGATTCCCAACAGGATGTTTTCACCAATCACTACATTCTTAACCTTTCCAAGTCTAGGGTTCACCGTTATCTTCCATACCTTCCAGCGCATAAACTGTGCCTCTTACTCTTTAAAGCTCTACCTTGACTGATTCCTGGGCCGTGTACTATCCTCTGTCTTTACAAGGGACAAATCAGACCTAAAATGGAGCATTATTGTCATTTTGGGTCATGAGCTTCCCAGTTTTAACTTTCTAGTCTCTCTAGAGTCGAAAGGTGTCTCTGCGTCCTTGTAGATGAATATTTTCCACCCTGCAATCACTCTTTCACGGACGAAACGTCTTAAACCTCTGCCTGCTGCACTATCGCTAGTTCTATGGAAAATGCTCAGATCAACTGCATTCCTTAGTTCTACCAGTTCTAACCTTCACGTTATAGGATCACGGATTGTAGCAAATCACATTCCTTCCACTCGAGCACCTTCTTCCACGAACCACTACTCTGTAGAACCGACTTTCTGATCACTGCGCTTTTAACCTGTTCTAGTGTTAATCTTCCTCACCTATCTGCGCATCAACTCTGCCTCTCACTCTGTAAAGCTCTATCTTGACTGGTTCCCGGACATGGTGAACCCCACGGTAAAAAATACAAAGACGACACCCACTCGTTGTTTTATAAGCGATATATCAACACACAAAATCCCATGACAAAGTTTGAATGAAAGAACATACCGCCGAATAGATATACTGAGCGGCCATTGTTTCGGCTACGGCTCGTTTTATTTGCCATTGGACTTTGGCCGAAGAATCTCGAGAGGCCATCAAGTGTGTATAACGGAACATCACCAGACCTGGATTGATGCAATATTCTGTAAAAAGACGGATAAATAAAAAGGATTATTCCATTTTGATTATTCCAAATTGATATGGCAGCTCAATTTCAAAAAGAAAAGAAGCAATCATAAGTCTAAACTCGAAAGAAATACCAAAACCACGAATTGAATATCCAATGTCCAAATACACGTAACCGGTGAGAAATCCAACGAACAAGGAAACAGCCACACGTAAGCCGACGGACGAGATAGAAACAAAAAGCTGCACTCGAGTTCGAGAACAACAACCGATTTTATCGACGAAGCACTTTTTATTGGTCGACGGTTGGAGAGGGACATCAATATTAGCATATCTGAGATACATTTAAAGCAACCGCTGTCACTGATTTACAGTTTGCGATGGATAAATTGTCGTCTAAATGACGCAAAAATGAAAATAGCACTATCATCATTTTCTTATTTTCTTAATCAAAATTACACACAAATATCTTTAAATACTTTATTCAATAAAATTGCCATTGGCTTCAACTACAGTCCCCAGACGATTCCGGAAACTCCTGCAACTCTTCTGGACAGTTTCTTTGTTTAGTTGGTGAATGCTGCCAATTTCCTTAGCTTCAGTTCATTTTTGGCGTTTCAAGGAGCTTTGTTGGTCTCTCGCTCAATTGCGCCTTACACATAATAATCAAGGGGGGTTCGGTCTGGGGAGTTAGGTGGACAGATGTAAGCGGTGGTGTGGTCGGAGAAATTGCTGACAGTCATCACTGGGTTCTCCTGTTTGTTTGACATGGTGCAGAGTATTGTTGCCAGACATTTTGGGCTTCCAGGAGCCACCCTCTTGACTCAAGTCAGCAGTACCTTGTACTTGATGTAGCACTTGATCAAGGACTCCGTGTTGAGTTTGAGGTCTTGTGAGAAGGCGAATGGAATTCATAACGTCGTCAGCATTGGGATCACTCCAAACACATTCGTAATCTCATCCAATATTTTCCGTATCCTTTGCAGTATTCTCAGATTGTCCCACAAATACCCCGAAATATTCGTATCGGAGCTTCCGGCGCGAATGCCAAAATGTACAGCATGTTGTTTCCAAATTTCTGGTGGAGTTAATTGCGTCATAGTGTTCGTTTTTCTTTTCTTTTTTTTTTAACAGGCGGTGCTCAGCTGACACTACAATACTGAGCAGCTGATAAAATCTAAAACAAACAACGCGCCTGCGCGAAAATAGAAATATAAAATGGTATTTATCAATTCACCCACAGGAATTGAATGTGGCACAAGGCCTTTTTAATGTGGGTATGTCTGAGCCCGTAGGCCCAGCCAAAAATAAAACCCATCTAAACCCGTCCAAGCGGGCTAGTTCCGTCAACCTCCTCGAAAGAAACCCTACCCTTCGGCGGAGCTTCGTCCGGGTTCCCCTCTGCAAGCAGAGAGTTCGACAGACACCCGACTCGGCAGCTCACAAAGCGCAGATACTACACTTTGATCCTAGCCACCGATAAAATATAAAATAGTGACAATTTACCCATCGCACCATGTATTTTATTCTGGTTATTTTGTCTTTGGCATATCGTAGAGAAAACATGTCCCCTCCTTTTCGTGTTAAGTGACTTTCTCTTTTGCTAAACTTATGTAAACAAAAGAAAACAGACATTTGATTATTTGCAAGGTTGGCAGGAAATTTATCATTTATCATTCCTACTTTTACAGCAGGCATAAATGATAAAGCGTCACATATACATCGAATTGTCTTTAAAAGTACACGTATTTTCAAGTATGAAATCATATAAAGTCTAAGCAAATACGTCGAGATGAATGCAAAAAAAATGGAGACAAATACAAGGAAGGAAAAGATATTACGTTACTTAGAAGAACATTTACAAAATAGAATATCGGATTTTCTAGAATTCGAAATTAACAGTCCATAAAGTTAAAACAGCTTTTTAATTGAAAACTTGCAGGCTGTAGGCTTTTTAAAGACGGATCTGAGTGTAATCTCTGCTGAGTAGTACGGGCTTACACTCAATGGAAACAGGGTTAGTAATGATTGACGAAAAAGAGACTTCAGTTATGGGAGCAGCAACAAGTGTAGAAGGAAATGAAGGAGAGACATGGGCAACGAGAAAAAAAAACAGGCATAATGAGTAAAATGAAAAGAAAGAAAGAGTTTGGTAATGAGAGGAAATGAGTAAAAAAAGAAATGTGAGATTTGGGTAATGAGAGAATAATGTGTAGAAGAAAAAGAAAGAGAGTGTTGAATAATGAAAAAGAAAAGATTAAAAGAAAAGGAAATGAGACTTGTGTAATGAGAGAAAAAGAGTGGAGAAGAAAATGAAAGAGAGGCTTGGATAATGTGAGAAGATGAATAAAAGAAAGAGTGACTTGTGCAATGAGAGAAAAATAAATAAAAGAAAATGAAAGAGAGACATGTGTAAAGAGAGAAAAACAGTGAAGACGAAAGGAAAAAGAAACTGCAATGAGAAAAAAGTGTGCAGATGAAAAGGGAGACTTGGATAATGAGAAAAAGAAAAAAAACTTGGGTAATGAGAGACAAGAGTATAGATGAAAAGGAAAGATAGACTTGGATAATGAGAGAAAATATTTTTGAAAGAAAAGTTCGAAACTCGTACAGGGTTACCCAGATCGACAGAACAAGCCGGAAAGGTACACAGACCGAAACATTGTGGTAATAAGAACAAAGATGGGGGACACTAATCCAAGTGATTATCATGTAAATTCATTTTGAATTCCTTTAGAAAAAATAAATCTTTCAAATGGTAAGCTAATAAATTGATTTTAAAGCATTAAACGAGTGCTTCATAGTGTAGAATAACAATAATAAACAGCACTTACCGGTGTAAAGGTCCCAGCTAGCGTCCAGCTGGCAGACAAAAATAAAACAGGTTGTAACTTAATACAAACCCTGCAAACTAACAGATGAATCAAGCTGGTATTTATATAGAAATACCTCCACTCAGGTACCAGCAGCCAATCACAGCCCAAGCAATGGACTATCCCACTTTAGCACAATGAGATGGACTATGGCAACATAAATAGCTCTCTTTCTAAAGGTTGGATTATTGTTCACTTAGCTTGCTCCACAACTAAGTGTTTATCTCTACCACGTGATTCTTCTACACATAGCAATAGTTTAATAAATGCTTCATTATTAATTTTAAGACATCTTTATGTCTTGCAGGTGACTCGATGTTACAACGATTACTGAATTACTCTATGTGACAAAGAAAACTTATTTAAGTCCGAAATTACTTTCTTAGCAAATAATCTTGTCAAGAACATAGTTAACAATATATATGAAACAAATCTCTCACATCGAACTTATATGAAATCAATGATTTAATAATAGGTTTGAGATAAATAATAAATGTATTGATCAAATGGATACATACCTTGGCACAAGTCGGGAACTTCAACAAAATCGATCTTTATGGGCCAGGTAGATTTCAGACGAGACATCAACATGTTTGCATACTGCAAAAAAAAAAAAAAATTCCTCAAAATACTTTAATTGTAAAAATGCATTGTATATATTCAAACATTTTTATTCTATAGATTCATTCGTTCACACACACACACACACAGACACGCACAGACACACACACAAAGGGTGTTCGAAAAATTTGGACCCATTTTAAATGTGTATTAAGTTTAAGCGTCTAATGATTTTTTTCTTTTTCATTCAGATTTAGCGGACATTTGGGGGATATTATTTTTCATACATAATGACCATGACATAAATAACATGATCCAATAAAAAAAAAAATAAATTTTCACTAATAACACTGATTTTATTTTTGTTGACTTTGATCCGTCTTAATGAAACACCTTATATATTATTCGCTTTAATGAAACACCCTTTATATATATATATATATATATATATATATATATATATAAATATATATATATATATATATATATAAATAAATAAAAGTATGTAAACGATTGTAAGCGAGTTCAAGTATCTTCAAATTAAATATTATTAATATTTCTGCTTTTACATTCACTTCTAAAATAAAATGCTTTGTGAATTACTAAAAAGAAATTACTGCCAATTGAAGTCAGAATATTTTTAAAAAATAAGACCGACATATTTGACAAGATATGGATATCAAATCAGAAGGATATCAAATCAGAAATCAAGACTGAAAATAGAAAAATTTCTACAGTATAAAATCTGTTAAAATATTTTAAACAACCTCTTAAATTGAGCGATCACAAACGATAAATTGCATATGATAGATAGATAGATAGATAGATATGGAGATATGAAGGGCTGGGAGGAGAGAAGGAAAGAAATAGCAAGTGTATGATTTAAGAAAGAAGAAAATCGGGGTGGGAGGGGTTTGAGAAAGATAGAAAGAACATTGCAAGCGTAGCGTAAAAAGGAGACTTAAATAACAAGAGAAAAAGGAAGAAAACGATATATACGTAGTTATCAATATTGAGAGAAAAGGGTGTAGGAAAAAAAGAAAGAGAGACTTGTGTAATGAGAGAAATAGTGTATAGAAGAAAAAGAAAGAGAGACTTGGTTAGTGAAAGACCAAGAGTGTCGAAGAAAAAGAGAGACTTGGATAATGAGAGAAATATAGTGAGGATAGGGTGACTTAAATAATAATAATAATAATAAAGAGAAAATAAACGTAGTCTTCAATAATGAGAGAAAAGAGTGTAGGAGAAAGAAAGAGAGATTTGTGTAATGACAGAAAAAAGTTGGTAGCAGGGAAAGAAGAGACTTGGCTAGTGAAGAGTGAAAGACAAAGAGTGTGGGAGGAAAAAAAGGTAGAGACTTGGATAATGAGAGAAAGATAATTAAAAAGAAAAGGGAAGACAAGAAGACAGACTTGTGTAATAAGAGAAAAAAGCGTTTAGAAGAAAAGGAAAGAGATTTGAATAATGGAAGAAAAAAAGAGTGTGGCAGAAAAAGAAAGAGAAATTTGGTTAATGAGAAAAGTGATTCTCGAAAAAAAAAAACTTGACTGGAGAAGAATTTGATGGACTTGCTTTTTATGGTTTATCAACCTTTTGGTGATTATTTAAAGCTGAAAGCTATTTTGGATTGTATGAATTATTATTTTATTTTTGCGAGTGAATATCGAATTAACAATTTCTTTTTGAATAACAACGACTTTTTTCATATATAATTCCTACTGCTTAACTCTATATCTGAGAGAGTAGAGTTATTCATACCTTCCATATGGGCATCTGTGCGAAATCGAATGCAAAAAAGTCGCCAAGTTCTCATTCCGAGCTTCTATTATTTCTCGCACACCCATGTTTATGAGAAATGTAACGAAATTTTGAATGAAGGGATACCATTATGAAGAAGGTCCAACTTAACATTTTTCATATTGAGGATTTCTACTATGAATATTTCTTTTTAATCATTTCATCCCACTGAAGGCAATAAAGCCAATAAGACGCAAAGGGTTACTAAGCGGGAGAGAACATGAGAATAGAAACATTATTAAGGATAGAGAACAATAAAAGAACGAGAAAAATAAAAAGGACTAGATAACGACCGATATTACATTTAAAACTTTGAAGATCAATGGTGGCCGGGAAACAAGAAGCCGAAATAGAGTTCCAAAAGTGAGAAATGCGACGGAAGAATCTGTTAGCATACAACTTTCGGTTACATCGACTCATTTCAGGTGTAAAATGATGAAACCTTTCCGCCAATTTCATACTGCGCTTAAAATCATAAAGCCTAGATACCTAAAGAAGAAAGCTTATCAGGACAATTATCACGAAAACATTTATAGAAAAGAAACGACATTAAGGCAGTGGCAAAGTGACTGAAACCGAGATGCCAGGTCAGGACCAATAACATCGTAGATGCTTCCTTGGATTTTATCATGAATCTATAAATATATAGCAGAAAAACTAGATCAGATGTGGCAGTAATATCGAAAGCAAGGACGAACAGAAAACTTATAAATATGTACGATACATTCTAGCAATAAAAAAAAATGACTAGCACAAGATTCCCGAATCAACATTTTTAATAGCTGACCTAGCGATTAATTCGATATAATCTTTCCAGCTTATGTCAACGGCAAACGTAAGCCCGAGAAGGTGCATTAAGCCATTCTTCTGGAAGTTAGCATCAGTCATAAGGATGCTAGGTTAAAAGTGTTCACTCAGACGAGTAAAAGAGAGAAATTTCGTTTCGGTTGTGTTAAAATTAGTAAGTCATTCATTGCTCCAGTTAACAACAGAAAGTAGATTGTTTTAAAGATCAGATGTCAATTTAACCGCATCGAACCGATCAGAATTACTATCGATACAGGAATAAATGGTTGTCATCAGAATAGATACAAAGTCGAGAACTGATGACACTCGGTCACTGGATTTGGTTTCATCATGCAAATTGATACACTATAAAAATGTCGTTTTAATCTTTGCTCTTTCCTCGTTAAATAATAATAATAATAATAATAATAATAAATCAAAGGAAATAAAATAATAATAATAATAAAATCAAAGTAATAATAATAATAATAACAATAATAATAATAATTAAAAAATGAAAGGAAAATAAAATAATAATAATAAAAATCAAAAGAATAATAATAATAATAATAATAATAATAATTATTAAAAAATCAAAGGAAATAAAACAATAATAATAATAATAATAATAACAATAAATGAAAAGAAATAAAAAATAATAATAATAAAAAAATCAAAAGTAAATAAAATAATAATAATAAAATCAAAGGAAATAAAATAATGATAATAATAAATAAAATAATAATAAATTAAAAGAAATAAAATAATAATAATAATAATAATAATAATAATAATAATAAAAAATCAAAAGTAAATAAAATAATAATAATAAAATCAAAGGAAATAAAATAATGATAATAATAAATAAAATAATAATAAATTAAAAGAAATAAAATAATAATAATAATAATAATAATAATAATAATAATAAAAAAATCAAAAGTAAATAAAATAATAATAATAAAATCAAAGGAAATAAAATAATAATAATAATAAATAAAATAATAATAATAATAATAATAAATAATAATAATAATAATAATAAATCAAAAGTAAATAAAATAATAATAATAAAATCAAAGGAAATAAAATAATAATAATAATAATAATAATAATAATAATAAATTAAAAGATATAAAATAATAATAATAATAATAATAAATCAAAAGTAAATAAAATAATAATAATAAAAAAAAATCAAAGGAAATAAAATAATGATAATAATAAATGATTGAGTGAGAATTTTACGTTTTAGGTACTAGTCATATTGGACAGGACTCTCCCGTCGTTTTTCGACGTATGAGAGTCAAACAACGGTTCTTAGGAACCGAGATATGATCTGCTTTGTGCATAACCAATTACACTTTTTGAAGAGCTGAATACAGAGATCAGGTACACTACAATAACCCATCACTCAAACAATAATGAGATCACAGATGAGAGTGCCACTAGTTTTGAATATAGAGTAGTCCTTCTCTTAGACCAGTTGCCATCCAAGGCTATAGAACTCATAGCTATTTACCCATAGCTAGGGGAGAAAAGATTTGAAGGGACACTCATCAGATTCAATGTAATTACTAGTTCAATGGACTGAGCCAATCTGAGTCACATCCATTTTTTCACTGTGTTTCCTTCTTACTAATTTCGTTAGGAGGTAGAGAAATGATACCAAATGTAAAATTTATATTATTTTTTCTTCATTTCTTTTTCTTTTATTTCTTTTTCTATTTCTTTAGTGATTATCTTATTAACCTTTCCGCTAACTTGTAATGTGAATGTGGAGGGTAATTTATCTCATAAAGCTTGATTACTATCACTCTTATTGGAGTCAGAAAGTTGAAAATATTTAGTCGATGCCATTCTCTGTCCGCCTTTCTACATGTAATCTATGCAAAATTTTATATAATTTTGAAATTTTTCTTTTCTTTTCAATTTGAAATTTTTCTTTTTTTTTTCTTTTCAAATTTAAAATTTTTCTTTTTTCTTTTCTTTTCAATTTAAAATTTTTCTTTTCTTTTCAATTTAAAATTTTTCTATTTTCTTTTCTTTTCAATTTAAAATTTTTCTATTTTCTTTTCAATTTGAAATTTTTCTATTTTCTTTTCAATTTGAAATTTTTCTTTTTTTTTACTCTTAGACTTTATTTGACTAATTTTTTCATTTTCTTTTTCGTTTTTCTTTTTTCGTGATAACCCTCAATGTAAAAATATGTCTGCCTCTGATATTTCATCTTATAGAAGTCATTGCGACTCATACTAAGTTAAAAGTTCTTGTATTGGATACCATTTCCATATCCCTATGTTATATCCCTGAATGCAGTACTAGATGAAGAACTCTCGAACCATGAACATCTGAATATACCCCCCGCTATCTCATAGGCAGGAAGAGCTCTTTATTCTTGGTCGACAGTCGTACTAGAGATTGTAACTTAAACAAAATTATCTCTTAGCCGTCAAGAATAAAATGCAAAAACTACAAATTTCAATGCTGACGAACTCATACACATACCCATTCGGCCGTCACTCGGGTCAAAAAGAGCCACGCCCCTCAGAGAGGAACCATTCTGGAACCCCAAAAAATCTGTCACTGAAACAAACTCTACCAACAACGAAGGGACACCTGGTCACCAGACCCGGCCTATTTCCAAGCTTGGACCAAATGACACAATGCCAAATCAATTAATACAGAGAAAACGAATGAAATGGTCCCACGAAGGGTATCAACAAGTCATGAAATCCTTTTTCGCCGCACTCGAGAATCTACAAAAGAACATCACGAATCTAACACACTAAATGTGAAGAACTATGGTAGGAAGTGGAATAAAGTCCCATGTCAACCCAGAATACTTGTGACTGACGTCAGGGACATCGTGCGAAAAAAAAAAAAAAGACTCAAATGAAGAAATATATTAGATAAATATAAATATAAATTAAATATAAGAAAGAATACAATAACTCATCACTCAAACAATAAAGAGATGAGAGTTAATATAAATAATAAGGCAGAGGATGATGTAAAACTAAAAAAAAAAAATAAATATGAAATAATAATCTCTCAGGAAATAAAACCGAAGAATTTACATATACTGCAGTTGTCCAGATAATGTGACTGAAGATAAGTCAAACGACATAAGGGCAGAATTCTTTGAAAACAACAAAGGTGAAATTACCGAAGCGAAAAATCACATCATCCAAGTACCCAGCAGAGTAACTCTTACACAAATATCAGAAAGAGACCAGCTCTCAAAAATTCACATGACAAAGTCCAATAAGCACACTGTGCAAATATACAACGCTGCACGGCAAACACTGTTAACGGACAAATCACTGAGAAACACCACAGAAATAAATAACGTCATGTACGCAACAGCTTTTGAAGCTGTTGGGGAGCCTGGGGTGAAGATAATGAAAAGATGAAGCAACACACAAAAAGAACCAGCTCAGAAGGCAAAGTTGACGCGAAAAATAAAGGAAATCAGTGGTGAGATACCGATGCCAGATGAGGTCACAAGAAACCTAAATACAGGAAGATCAAGTGGGGACATAAAAATCACTAAATGGAATTCCAGCAATCAAGGAAGTGCTAAACCGAAAACAGCAGGTAAAGGCACAGAGAACCGGACGATACGAAAAGAGTTGTAAGTTCTATCGACAAAATAAGATATTTATATATTTACAGGGAAATTAGAAAAGCAGGTGTACATGTCTAAAACCACCATCTATGGAAAAATTACAGAAATTTCATGAGAATATTTGGAGCAGTCCAAAGGAATATAACCTCAATGCAGAATGGATCCAACGAGAACGAATGATGGATAAATCTTTACAAGAATGGGAAAGTAGGCAAGCTCTAACGAAATCTACAAAATAGAAATTCCTAGGACATTATAAGTTAACCAATTCTTGGCTCTATCATCTATACATACAAGCCTTTCATAAACTCTGCCAATGTTTATTAATAATCCCAATGAAACCTTAGAATGAATCACTGGAGATATTACATAACTTCTGCCAAAAAGGGTGTAGAGATGATCCGAAAAATTATAGGCCAATAGCATGCCTGCCCACCACATAAATTGGTTTACGTCTGTCCTGACGAATCGCATTTGCTCTCGTCTGGATGAAAACAACATTTTTCCTTTGCACTCAACTACTCCAATTGTAGTTGGAGCCCTTGGATTGATTGAAAAATATACCAATAGAGCCATTGAAAGCCTTCCTGATAGTTCATGCCTTCAAGAAATACAAAACATTGTATTCACAAGTACTGCCTACAGTTTATGAAGAGCATTATCTATGGAAATATGTGATCATATGCTTTTTTTTTTTAATTAACAATGGAAAGTGACATGATGTCATTTCTGTCCTTAGTTTTCTTGCTGGGACCCGGAAAGAAATGAACATACACCAGAAATCAATAATAATAATAATAATGATAATAATAATAATGATAATAAAGACGGTATAGATTTTGCGAGAATAATTGCAATAAATTGAATAATTTCTTTGAATTCTTACCTCTTTCGCGTAATTCAGGAACTGCTTGTCATCCATGCAGCTGTGAAACCTTAACAACGATTCACCCTTCGTTTCAGCAGTTTGGAAATTTCCAAGAACAATTGCTAGTTTCATGGGGTTTTGGGTTTCGTAAGGGTCGAACTGAATTCTTTTTCGGTTTTTCTTCTCAAGCTGAAATAAAAAAAAAAAAAAAAAAAAAAAAGAAAAGAAATAGAAATATATTTCTTCCAAAAGTTCTGTTGCGTCTTTCAATAACTCAGGAATTGTTTCATTCCGATCGATAATCATTTTTGATTAATTGATTTATTTTTTACTGATTATCGGCCTTTTTTAGGTTATTCAAAGCTAGAAAATATTTTTAGATTTTATGATTTTGTATGAAATAACAATTATTTTTGATAATGTTCCTATTAATTAACATATATCTGGGGGTAGGAGAGGTGGATTCATACTTTTCTCAAAGAGTATTTGCACTTAAGTGAATGTAAGGAACACGACTGGAATTCGAACTCGAAGTGCAGAGTTCCAATTCCAGTCGTTATCCACTACATTGCACGCACATCCAAACTTACAGCATCTGATATTCCCAAGCGGTTACCCTCCTACGTACTGATCAGGCTTGACGTTACTTAACTTCGGTGATCGTATGAGAACTGGTGTTTTAATGTGATATGTAAGTAAGCCAGAGTGCTACACAGCTGCTCACAAACAGGTCTCGCTGAACATACGCTGACAGAGATCTATTGGAAAGAAACCATGGGTGCTTGTTAAAACTCGTATAGTGAATTTATATCTAAACTAGCAGCATGGCCCAGCGTTGCCCGTGCTTGATTCAAAAATCGTACGACTCATACAGCAATCGCTATCACTTGACTTAAAATATTTTTGCCCTTCCTTGCCTTTAAAGGAATGCCCTTTTGCCGTGCTGATGTTGCTACATGCCTTACTTCTTGCCTATCTCACACTGCGAATTTTTCTAAGTTCTGTACTAAACATTAAATCTGTTACGAAAAAGAACTAAAAACAAAATGAACACAAAACGATCAGCTTTTTAAAAAAACTCGTAACTGGAAAAAACCGAATGAAAAAGAATGTTAACAATACTTTTTTTCACAATCAACCCAGTTTTGTGGAATCAGAATCAACGTTGAGTTTAAGCAAACGAATGAGCCAATTGGAGTAAAGTGCCATGCAGATTTAAATTTTTTCCACTTGTGACGAATGCAGCTATCGATTTTTTTTTGCATGATAGAATGCTAGTTAACATTCGTGTCAGTCAGCTGTTGGCTCTCACGCTGGCCAATAGAAAATTGCCGCAAACTACATGAAAACTGCCACTATCGATGAGAGTTGGGAAATGCAAAGTCGGTCTTGGCCTTCCCGCTAACTTGGAGCATGTGCATGTACATTTTGGTGTAAATCTGTCGAAAATTGCAGCCGTGCATTCGTCACACACACACACACACACACACACACACACACACACACACACACACACACACACACACACACACACACTGCCTGTTATAGATAGAGATTCTATACACTACAAGTTCAACGTTGAGCGTCCTGGGTAAGACGTTAAACTACGTCCAGCATCAACTACGTCTGGTCAGGGGTTTTGAGGAGCGTGGAACTACCTCTTAATTGCTAATGTTCCCAGGTCCACCCAGACCCGGGGTGGTAGTACCTGTTAGGGTCCCATCTATGGGCAAATAGTTAACTATTACCAGCCATACTTTTTGAAAAATATTATTACTAGCAATACAATTTTGAAGGAAATATATTACCAGAAACAGATTTTAGACAAAACAAAATATTACCAGCAATAAAAAATGTCGGCATTAATTAACCCATTGATGTTGAAATGCCATTAAACAAAATAAACCAAACCTTCAAAGTTGAACAATATAACAAATGAAGAGCAGTTTCTGCAACGTTTGTTAGCAAGGCTGGTGTCTCTCAAATGTTGGACGATGACATTCTGCTACTCACTGCTGTTCTGCTTCTGTATTTATGCAGACGATTTCAACCACAAGAACAACGAACGCCCACGTTTTCGTGCCACGTGTCCAAACCAACTGGTCATCGGTTAGAAAATCATGGGCAGCTGAGCATTCAAGAATAGCACTTAACTCAAGCGCCTTATAACTAACTAGAAATTTCTTTACATCATGACAGCTCCATCAAGTTAGAAATCACTAAAATTGTAAGCCCGAACGTTGCTACTGTTCCCATGAATAGACTTGTTTTTTCCTCTAAAACGTAATAGGATATTCAAATATGCTTTTTCTTTTCACTCTAAAATCAAAATTTATTTTATAAAGGTGTTCAATTAGATTTTCTGAAAAGAATGCATCTCAAGAAGGCAAATACCAGTATGAACCGTTCAGATGTTTAAAAAATACATTGAATATTCAGTTATATAGTAAGACAAAAAAAATATAGTATTAGGTTGGTGCAAAAATAATGACGTAATAATGTCGTTTTTGGACGTACTTTTTAACGTCAAAAAACGACATCATTACGCCATTATTTTTGCATCAACCTGATAATAGAAACAGAATAATTTTCAATGGAACGAGCGAAAAAGTCAAGTTCACGTTGCCAAAACAACCCTTTTAGACAGCTTAAGTATTTTGGTAACTTCTTTATGTGCCGTGACCCTTCAAGACGTGGGCGAATATGGCCCTCGATATCTTTCTCTCCCTTGTATTAGGTTGGTGCAAAAATAAAGACGCAATAATGTCGTTTTTTGACGTTATAAAATACGTTAAAAAACGACATTATTACGTCATTATTTTGCACCAACCTAATAGCTTTTAATAAATCATCTTTTTTTGCTATTCCTTTCAAATCCTGTTCTATCATCCATTTACTCAAACCCATCAAATATGCTACGCGGTGATTTCCTCTGTCCCTCATGCCTTCAGTCTGTCCTGTGAGTATCATCTTTTTTAAGCCCTCCTTCTTTACTTGACCCAGGAATCTAAAATAATATCACTTAACGCTAATTTTCCTGTTTTCGGACTTCTTATTTTCGTCCATTTTTGTTTGTCGTTTTCTGTTATTTTATTCTTTCTTCAATGATTAACACAAGCGCGTCATACATTAATAACGATAAATGAATAAAAACAAGCACAATAAATACATGCAAAAAATATACAAAGGGGTTTACCGTGTCACAGTAAAAACCAGGTGATAAAAAAAGGTAAGTTCATTAATTTAGACACAGCTTTCATTTAACAGCTCGGACTAACATGATTTCTGATTGTGTCTTCATTCTTTTTGTGTGCCATGTCGATCAAGGCTCTTTTTTACCCTGTATCCCTTGCAGCTCTTAACAAGTTCCTTCCCTCTGCTACTACCCCCAGACCACGTTCTGTCATCCACTTGCTTAAGTCTGCCAGGTATGTCACGCGTTGTTTTCACTTGTCTCTCTTTCCTTCTATTCGACCCGTGAGTATCAGATTCCCCAAGCCGTCCTTCCTCATTGTGTGTCCCAGAAGCTTCAACTACCTCTTCCTGATATTGAGTATAAGCCTCCTTGTTTGCAACCTCTGTAAGATCTCATCTTTCCTTGCACGCTTGGTCCATGATATCCTTAGAAAACGAGCTTCGGTTTCGATAGAGATTTGAGGCAGTCATCTTGAAATTTAATTCTTATATTAATGATATACGAGCTGAACACCGCTTATTATTAGCACGGAACGTTTGATGTGTAGCATAACACATTTTCCAACGTTGCTTATTGGAGTTTTCTTAAATAAAAACAGGTCAGCCTCAGTCGACCACTTCGCGTCTGTCGACCGGCGACCCCACGTCGACCGGTCGACCACAGTATGTCACAGGTTTGTCCGGCCCGTACGCAGGTGAATATGCGCGTACTAAACAGCTGTACGCAGACAAACTCGACCGGGACGAACACCGTGACCCCGTGATTCGAATTTGAAATCCGCTAGGCACCCGTAATGAGCTTCGAAAATCAAAAAGATGGCTATCCTGTGCGTTAGGAAGTAAAATATCTGTAGCAATATAGGCTTTGCTGGGCGGTCTCTATGTAAGATATTGCCAAAATTTGTGGAACAAGTTTCGCAAAAAACAAAGCTATTCGCCCATATCATTGGCACCGGAAGAGACTTCTATATGGCTTTGATTGAAAAAATTTAAGTGATTGGCAGTCAGGAAGGAAATAAAGAAAGTTGCGGTTTATATATACATATATAATTTTTTTTTGGCGGGGAGGGAGGTCCTGGGTATGACCAAAACTACATTCGACAATGGAGTCTCGACTAGGGGACAGAATTAGGGTACCCCAAACTATTGTTACCTACGGTTGATCCCTGGTTAAGATCTAGCACCTGTTTGCCACCTACCAGGGTTACGGTATTTATTTATTTTATTTGTGTCTGTGTCTAGGGCGGCATTGATATGTGAGTACGTGTGTGTAACTCCTATAGTGGGGGTCCTTTTCTTCCACCGGCTGATTAACATGAATGAAAATGGGGATAAGTGTAAACAGAAAGTGATGTGCGAGTCTCTCTCTCTCTCTCTCTCTGTATGTGTGTGTGTGTGTGTGTGTGTGTCTCGGGGTGGGGATCAAATCTGTACTCACCACTTCAAGCCAAGCACGCCGCCATATTCCTGATCAGATAGAAAGTGTGGCTGTGTTTTCTTCCTTTTTTATGTATGAGCCTACTCTGCTGGTGAAGCGGAAGTTATCCGGGATTAGACAATAAATTGCCAAGAAGAGAAGTATGGTGTGCACTTCGGAAGATAAGAAAAAAAAAAAAACAGTAGCTAACCCGAGTCGAGGGATAGATTTTTTAGTGAACGACGTTTTGCCGACGTCTCGAAGTGAGAGAGTTCGTCTGGGTATGGCATGTGGGACGTCTATTTGAAAGAAGGCGAGTCCCTCGTTCCGTCAAACGAGACCATCTTGGCGAAAAGAGTGTGTTCTGTCGAGGCACATTGTACGATACGTGCAGTTGTAATAGAACGAACGAACAAACGAAGTGTTTACAAGGCAGAGAACGACGATAAATACCAAGAAACCGGTGTCGAGGGAAGAAACGCCTAATCTGAAATTTCGGCCGACAACAGACTTGCTAATTTTTTTTTACCACAAGTTATAACCGAATAAAATTTGCTTATTACAACAATAGTCTCATGTTTTATATATATAAACGTTTCGTCTCAAAATTTGAATAAGTTTTATCAGATTGATAAGCGCCGAGAACTGCTGCAAAACAGACTCTTATCAAGGACATCCGACAGGGATCGAATTTGCATTGCTTGGCTAACAGATAGTTACCCAGAAAAAATAGAATACAATATCTGACGAGAGGCACATTTGCTTTGTTAAAACATTCGATGATCTAGATGGTTGATTATTAATTTCACTACCGTAATTACCATTGCATAATACGCCTTTATTCATAATACGCAGCGCTAAATCTTTCTTGAAATGCTTCTACTCACGCATAATACGCACCCCTTTTTTGGTAATAAAACACTATAAATTGTATTTCTCCAATTTCATTACGGCCAGCATTTTCTACTCTTATTAAAAAAAATGGTTTTAAACATAGAATTCTTATATTATTTTCCATTTGTAAGTATTGTTAGGTACAAATCATTGTATTTGACATCCTTATGGGGTCGCAATCGCCGAATTTTAGTGTTAAATTGTCGCATATTTGGGATGAGTAGTCATTTGGCAACTGAAATCGACTTATGAAACGGCAATTTTTTAAAGATTTGTTGTAGCTGTGCATAATACGCATCCCTAATTCTGCTTATTTTTTTTTTTTTTTTAGAAAAAATGCGTATTATACATTGGGAATTACGGTATTTCTAAATGAACAAAGTTGTCTACCTAAAACCGTGTACCAACTAAAATAACGTTTGCAGTAATAATATTATCGGAATAAAATATCCATTGATTATATAAGATATGATTTAATATATCTTATAGTAATACGAGCGGGGAGCAAAAGTAGGTATACAGTAAGTATTATAACAGTATTACCAGTATTATAATACTGGTTCTAGATTTCATTTAAGTCATTTTTAATATTTTTATTTTCATAATTTTTATATTAATACATTTATTATAATATTTATTTTTCAATAAATAACATTAATAATAATGATAATAATAATAAATGTTTTGAAGGTAAAGAGGAGTGTGTGAATGAAGGGGGCAAAAAGTTTGAACCTTTGAGCGATTGATATATTTATTATTGATATGTTTATTATTTATATGTTATAATTGACATGTTTATTATTGATATGTCATTATTGATATGTTTATTATTGATATGTTTATTATTTATATGCTATTAGTGAAATTTTTATTATTAATATGTATTTTATTTATATGTTATTATTGATATGTTTATTATTGATATGTAATTTCTGATAAGTTTATTATTGATATTTTTATTATTTATATGTTATTATTAATATGTTTATTATATATGTTATTATTGACATATTTATTATTTATATGTTATAATTGACATTTTATTATTGATATAGTGACATGTTTATTATTACGATATAAGTGACATGTTTATTATTGATATGTATATATAAGCAATACAATAAATTTTGTGCAAACCTTTTTTCATTACTGTATAGAAATCCAATATCGCTTTTAAGAGGCAAAACAATTGCGGGAATAAATGAAAGTCAATATAATAACCTGTACTTAATCTTCTTTATCATCATAAAGAAATCTTTTGACCTGCGATCAACAAGAGTGATTCTGACCTCGAGGAGAGTGACACATCAATTTTCCGTTGATAGGAGGTGGAAAGGTTAGATTGAATTATATTGTAACTTTGCAGCTAGGAATGTGGTTCGCTCTGTAGATCTCGACAATTCTTACATATTCATTAGATTAGCATTTGATCTTGCTTTGAATAATTCTGCCACACTGTTTCTTTTACATGTTTAGAGGTTAGAAGAATCTTCAATGTTATTGGCTTCAGTCACTTTACCATCTGCCGTAACGTAGCCTCCCTGTACCTTTTCTATAAATACTTTCTCGTTAATTTATCTGATGAATATTCCTCTTTGCTACTAAGACTTTATGAATTTAAGCGCAGTAACACATTGGCGGCAGGTACTCATCATTTATTAGTTGAAATAGTTAAATGTAACCGTAAGTTCTATGTTATCAGTTACTTCTCGCGAGTTTGGAGTGCGGGACTATTTTCCGGCTTCCCAGTCAACTTTGATCTTTAAAATTTAAATACAATGTCAATTGCTATGTTCTGTCTTCTTAACTGTTGTTCTGTTATTATATTCTCTCCTTAATAGTATATTTTTTCATAATCTATAACACTTGCTACTTAGTGGTTTTATTGCCTTCATTGGGATGTGATGATTGAAAAATAAATATGTGAAATATTCGTTATTTTTTAAAGCAATTTTTCTTTCCATGAATGATATAAAATTCAATTTCTGGATAGGATTTTTTAAATCTATGCAATTTAAATTTTTGTCAATGTGAGAAATATATGTTAAACGATTTACCGTCTGGATTGATATGTTCACTGATGAAATAGCTATACATTTCACGAATAAAAGTAATATATATATATATATATATATATATATATATATATATATATATATATATATATATATATATATATATAAAGCGTATCAAATAAAATTTACAATCTTTGGTGGCCGGACAAAAGTCCCATAAACATATGTCCGCAAATCATTAGTTTTGAGTTAATATGTTTAAAGATAGTTTACGGTAGATATTGCTGTGTTACAATGTAGACTATGATAAATTACTTACCACACACACAAACACAACACACACACTTATATATATATATATATATATATATATATATATATTATATATATATATATATATATATATATATATATATATATATATATATATATATATATATATATATATATATATATATATATATATATATATATATTCAGACCATCACCATATGCTAGTCATCCGGGCAGTCGGTGGAGGCCTGAATAAGACTGGTATAGGGCAGTGGTGGTCTGAAAAAGACTATATCCACATACAGTAATTTTGGATTTTTTGCTGTATAATATATATATATTTGGGATGTATCAAAAATACTTTTACAAACTATATGGGCGGTTTCCTTACACCTTTAAAACGAGAAAAATCCCCCGTTTTTGAATTAAATTTAAAGTTTACGGTAGATGCTGTTAAATGTACAATCCATGATACAATCTAAAAATACTACTTTTCATAAACTTTGGGGACTGGTTCCTCATTCAACGGTAAACTTTCTTTAAACTTAAGAACTCAAAAAAGAATGATTTGTGGGCATATGCATATGTGAACTTTTGTTCTTGTTTTGTGAAGAAATTTGTAAAAATATTTTGATACACTCTTTCTATATATATATATATATATATATATATATATATATATATATATATATATATATATATGTGCGTGGGTGTAAAGGAATAGAAAAATATTTCTAACTTAGCGAATTCTGACAAAGTAACTTAACAGAATTTAAATATATTCGATATGTAAAACTTAAGTTAATTCTGAGTGAGATCAGACTAAGCATCACTTTCAACATTTGCTATAGTTCAAAATTGTTTATGCGGCCTTGTGGATGATGGATAATTTCCCACTCTATAAACTCTTTCCCACACGCAAAACGTCACAAGCCTTTAGTTATTCTATTTTTACATCCATTTTAAATTTTCTGATGAGCTACATTCAACAATTCCACCAGTTCAGACCTTTAGAGCTAAGACCCGACATGCCACAGTCTGGGACGAATCATTTCCATTTCTTTCATCTGCCATTACTACGAAGTAAGTTTTATTCGAGCAGCTTCTTCCAGACAAGCGCTGGCTAGAGGATAGTTCCCCGATCGATACAATCTTAACCTCTTCATGTGTAGAAGCAATCGTTATTTCTCTCACCAATTCTCATGAACTGCTCTTCTTATCTCATCCCTTTGGGTTCATGCAACAACCTCATTCAGTAATCACCTACCTTGAGTGGCTCTTGGGCCTTGCATTTGGTGACCAATTCGTATGGGAAAACATTAACAGGTTAAATAGTTCCCGGCAATGAATTCTTGCTATTAGATTATCATAGTAAAGTATTGGTCCTCCTATATGGTATTGAATCTTCGCACAGTTGAAAAAGAAACTTGAGGCGATAGTAATTTGATTCTACAGAAGGATGATGAGAATGACATGGACTGGTCATGTGAGGAACGACGAAGTTTTATGGGAAAATGGAAGCAAATAGACACTTGTACTTATAGAAAGAGTTGAAATTTCTGGGGCACCCATCGAGAAAAGAGAGTTTGGAAAACTTGACACTGACAAGACTTAGCGAAGCCAAATGAGATAGAGGAGAACAGCGCTTAACCTACTTAGCAAGATTTTTTTTCTGTAAATGGTTGGTAGGATGGGGTTAAAAGAAAGATAACAAAAAGGCAAAATTTCCTCAGAGCTATAAAGGACAGTGAATTGTGGAGAGCCATGATCGCCAACGCCCTGTGTAGTCACGGTAGATAGAAGAAAAAGAAAAAGAAACATCACAAACATTTGGAAGAAAAGAATGTTGGTATATTTTCAGAATTCATGAAGATTTCCAGTTAGAAAATCTTTGTAATCGCCATCTCATTGTATGTCTAATTAAAATAATTATGAGTTAATTGTATAGAAAAATTACACGCGACAATGTAATCGCGACGAGGGGACAGAATTAGGGTACCCCGAACCGTTGTTATCTAAGGGTGATCACTGGCTAAAATCTAGTACCTGTTTGCTCCCTACCAGTGCTACGGCACATATTTTTTAAAAATACAGTGAAACCCGGATATAAGAGAGTTGTCGGGACCGGAGAAGAAGTCTCTTATATCCGGGTTTCTCTTATATCCGGGTTTGGTCTATATGTATACATTAACACTGGCTCTAATTTTGGACCAGAGAAAATCTCTCTTATATCCGGGTTTCTCTTATATCCGGGTCTCTTATATCCGGGTTACACTGTATATATCTATTCATTTTATTTATTTATTTATATTTTGTATGTTGGTGTGTGAGTGTGTCGGCGCTGATGTGTGTGTGACTCATACAGGGGGAGGGTCAAGAAAAAAATGAAGGCGGATTCTTTTTTTCCTTCGGGCGAACGATTAACATGAACGGAAATGGAACCTGATACTTGAGAGTATATCTCTCAGTGGGGGAAACAAATCGTTACTTACCGCTTCAAACCGAACACGCCGCCATGTTTGTGACAAGATAGAAATTGTGTTTGTTTTTGCTTCCTTTTTTATTGAAGAGTGCACATTTCTGGTGCACGAGAATTTATCTGGGAGTGGCCTTTAAATTGTCAAGGGGGTGTCGTAGTGTGCAGATGGAAAAAAACTGTAGCTAACGGAAAGTACACAAGTCGATACCTAATCAGTATTGGCTGAGTCACTGTGGAGAGGGGGTATGATGTTGAAAGACCCGAAACCCCTAATGGACCTCGGTTAGAAACATCACTGATGATGTGTAGCAAAGCATTTAATGGATATATTTTACGAAATATAGAAAGAGAATATATTACCATATTCGAAAGGATCTGCAGTTCCTGGTTACATTCTATGACGAGGTTATATGTGATCTTCAGGTTGAACCAGCAAGGGAAAGCTCGCATGCATTCACACCACTAGGAAAAGAGAAAGAGGATGACGATTATAAATCAAGAAAAAATTAAAAAACTAAAAAAAAAAATAAGTCGGTTAGAAAACATGAAAAAAAAGGTTCCTTGTATAATTGACATTCTTGGGACTGTTATCCACATCTTCATTGTCATATTCACAACGTTTCGGGCGTTGTACGCTCCGGGCTTCTTTAGTTGGTTGGATCTCTGAGATGAGGTATTATGATTACTTGCATTATTTACATTATTCAGACTGTTATCCTCATCTTCATTGCCATATTCACAACGTTTCGGCTGTTGTACGCTCTGGCCTTCTTCAGATGATTGGAATTTCGATCGAACCCTTTATTTCGTCCACCGGGGTAGATTGTTCTAGTTCCACTTGTTATGTCTCTTCCAGATGTCTCAGTTACCCTTGAGGACATATGGCCTAGTGGATAAAGGCATTGGTTAGATCCAGTGACTAGACCCAAAGAGTTGTGGGTTCAATACCAGGCCACAGCAGTGGTGAACCAAAAAACTTGGAGAGTTGAGTTAAAGGGAAATAACTGAGACATCCATCCTCCTCTCATTATTCATCAATATATAAATTTTTATCTATTATATTTTATAGTCATTAAATTTTTATGTCATGGGGTACGTTTTTAGGTACCCCTGAGAGTATGCTGTATTATGGTGCATGAAGGGTCGATTGGTGATGGAGTTCTTTATTTGTTCTTTATTAGTTCTTGCGGTGAATTGGTAAATTGTAACGAGTGAATTGGTCGCGAATCTGATTAGCTAAGTATAGGATTGTAAGTGTCGACCCATTCCCATATTAGGCACTGTGCCAAAATTGTATATATTGTATAATAAATCAGAGGAAATAACTGAGACATACATTTAACACTTTCATTACTGCTGGTAACAAATAAATTTACTTACATTGAAATTACCGACGATCATTGCTTGATACATTTCTTCCATTCTTTCCATTTCTTTCTCCAGCTCTGATTCGGTCTCCATGTTAATACCCTTTTCCCACATCAATCTCATTCTCATTTTATCCAGTTTCCGGTCTCTTTCCATCTGATGGCGATCAAAGTTGATGTAGTAAAGGCCTCGAAACTGTTCATTTAATTCACTGGTGTAAAGCATTACCAGTTGACCAGCTCCACTCTGAAGTAAATACATTAGAAAGATGACGACTGAAAACCATGAATATCAATAATAGATACGACAGAAAAAAGAAACAGGAACCAGTCTACACAAATAAAGTGAAGTGCTTTTCTATATATTTGATATAGACTCAGAAAATACTTGATGGATTTCAACTAGACACAGCATGCAAACAGGCTATGACAGAGAGTTTCATATGCTATACGGAGATTACCCCTACCGTCTACTGCCGTCAAACAGTTACATGTTGAATTAATTTCCATTCGTCTTATCGTGCATGGATCTTCAAGAATGGGGCAAACTAGAAGATGCTCCATAGTTTGTGATTGCTGCATTGGCAGTTGGGATCAATATCGTTGGTATATCATCATTTCTGAAGGTTGGCCCTATAGTGACTAATATCTGTTCGAAGACGATTTATGCAGGACCAAAAAGGCTAGGCATTACTGGATAAGACACTAGAAGTGTTGAAACAAAATAGCTATTTTTGTAGTGATTTTATAACATATGTTATAATTTTCGAATAAATTATATATATATATATATATATATATATATATATATATATGCGTGTGTGTGGGGGTGGTGGATGTATATGTCTGTATAGATGCATATATGTATGTGTATGTAAGTATGTACGTATGTGTGTAGATATGTGTGTTGTACAGCATGATTTATTCTATTGGGTGTTTTGATATGACTTACAAATTTTGGGAATCTATTATTTGATAATTTTGTAACTTTAAATTGTCATGTCTTTAAATCCCTTCCCACTCAATAATATAAAACATTTATTGTCGAAATACAATTTATTGTTAATCCTATTAAACATATATGTTACTGGTAGAGTTTGGTATCCCGTAACAGGAATTTAAATTCATTTACATACAACTAAAGGCCCACCTCTCTTGAGAGATATATCTCACGCCCTCCCCTTGTCACCATAGTCAGGTTCCTTATCTAATCGTGGCGTCCCTTTGCTTAGGCATGTACGTTCTGCCCTCCTGCTATCTAAATTAAATTCAAAACCACCGATTCCGAGATGGTCAGTCTAGGGTTGAAGAAATCTGGCATAAGACTATACGCACATGAAATAATTTGGGATTTTTGTTGTATATATATATATATATATATATATATATATATATATATATATGTATGTATATAAATAAAAAGAAAGAACAGTAAGATATATAATCCGGTGTTCTTATAGATATTTTTTATTTATACAAAATAGTGCTCAATGTAAATTTACGCTTGAGGATGAAATGGAACTAATGTCTTTAATTTAATTACAAAATTAAATTCGGGGCTTTTAGCTTCCATTTTTGAAACATGGTTAGAACTGTGTAGCGAAAAAAAACATATTTTAAATCAATTAATTTATAATACACATATATATATATATATATATATATATATATATATATATATATATATATATATATATATATATATATATAGTGTGTGTGTGTGTGTGTTTCAATTACCTTGAGAGTCTCGGGGAATCTAAATATCATCATTTCCCTGTCTTCATCGTAGAAATAATTTTCAGCATTCACTATGCAATCTGAAAAAAGAAATCAAATTGAGATATTCAACTAAAATTAATCGCGATGCCAAAAAAATGCAAATTTTATTTTAGTTTCGCAATCAATGAAGTTTCGACGCCTTTTCCAAAATATCGATTTCCCTCACAAAAAGCTGTAGGAAGAATATTTTCCGGTTTTTGCCAGTGTGACGTTATTATTAAACCAATTTATCACATGAAATATTATTATTATTAGTAGTAGTAGTAGTAGTACTACTACTAGTAGTAGCAGTAGTAGTAATTTTCAAAGCAATTCTTTTGGAGTTGCATTTGTTTTATAATCTCTTGTCGACCGAGGGAAAGCGAAACATGCGATTTTTTTGTGTTATCAATTAAATAAAAGATTTAAAACCAAACAATAAGAAACATTATATGAGCAACGGTCTTCGCAGGATATGGTCATTTTAGAACTATTTTTTTTTTTGGAATTTCCAGGAAAGGTGACCCCTAGAGATTTCGTTGACGTTCATCTGTTCCTTTCTTTATCAAGGCTCAAAGCTTCAACAAAAACAGAAACAGCTTTAGTTTTTACGTGCCCCATTTTTTTGTTTGTTTACCTTCAATTAGTTAAATGACGTCACCGTGATTGACTAGAAATCATTCCAGTGAACGTGGGAATTAACCAAAAATAGTGACGTAAACATATAGAAAATACAATACATGAAACAAAAATACATACATAAACGCAACGCATACATACACACACACATAAACACACACAGAGACAGACACACACACACACATCTATCTATCTATCTCTCTCTCTCTCTCTCTCTCTATATATATATATATATATATATATATATATATATATATATAACGGACTCTCCCGTCGAGTACGACGTATGAGTTTCCGACGGCCACGAACAAATTATCCGCATGCCTTTGACGGGCATGACATTTGAGACCGGCTCAAGAATTGCACAAAAGACCACAAACAGTACAGAGGAACGTATTGTATTCAAGTGCAGCAGGAACACTATTAGATGTCTTATTTTGATTTCTCGTTTCATGTAATCGACTGATACTGACTTCTTGATGGTGCATTATTCCTGTATGGAATTTCTAGAACGAAACTCTGATCTCTTTATAGCTACCTCTTCAAAGTTCTTAAATGGAATGTTGACGCAAGAACGGTTGCTTTTCAGTTAATCTTTATATCTGAGCCAAGGTCTACCAACATTTCTATGACCATTATGGAGTTCAGTGAAGAAAAAGAACTTTTTGGTATGCGATCATCTCTCATCCTAGCCACATGAATATAACGAAAGTTTGTTTGATTAGTTCAATAAGTGCCACACACCCACACCCACACACACACACACACATATATATATATATATATATATATATATATATATATATATACTTATGATGGACTTTACCGTTGAGGTATGAGGTTCCGACGAACTAATTATCCGCATGCCTATGACGGGCATGACTTTTGAGACCGGCTCAAGAATTGCACAAAAGACCACAAACAGTACAGAAGAATGTATTGTATCCAAGTGCAGCAGGAATACTGCTAGATGTCTTTTATTTTGATTTCTCATTTCATGTAGTCGGCCGATGCTTACTTCTTAATGTTGCATTATTCCAGTATGGCAGCTAGAACGATACTCTGAACTCCTCATTGAAGAGGTAGCTATATATATATATATATATATATATACTATTTACATTGTTCCGACTGGTGTCCTCATCTTTTTGACATATTCATGACGTTTCGGTTTTTGTACGCGCCGGCCTTCTTCCGATGATCAGATATATATTTAGCGTTGGTTGACTCCAATGACTTCATTCAAATAGTTGTAACTACTATAACTGGCTGCATCAGAGGTGAACAAAATCGTGGACAATTGAGCTAAAAGGGAGATAACTAATATTGAGACATCAGGAAGAGGCATGACACGTGGAACTAGAACAATCTACCCGGGTGGACGAGATAAAGGGTTCATTTTGAAATTCTAGAAGGCCGAAGCGTACAACGATCGAAACGTGATTCTGACAACAAAAATAAGGACAACATCCAGGAAAATGTAAATAGTTTAAATAGTTACAATGTCTCATCTCATATATATATATATATATATATATATATATATATATATATATATATATATATATATATATATATATGAAGAAATATAGTCTTAAGATTAACTATATTTATGGGATAAAGTGCTCAGTGTCAGAGATAGAGCGTGTGGCCTGACGATTGCATCTAGCATGAAACAGACTGTCG